GGAAACCAGCTGGAAGTGTGAATATATTTCAGATAGGCCTAGATAAACAAGTAAGAAAATGTAAAATTGATGGGCGGATACGAGGATATAGGAGAGGTTAATAGCTCAGAACAGAAGGAGAGATACCACAACTGTTTAGCACACATTTGGTCAAAGGATTGACTTCACTTGTTTCTTTGACGAGTGTTAGTGTGGGGCTAAGAATGGCAAGACTCACTGACGATGCCGGCGAAACGTCTGGGAATGTGTCAAGTCCACGGTCCGACTCTGGAAGTGATCATGCATACTATGGACTCCCGACAAGGCGCGTTCCTCTAGGTCTTCCTGCCAATATGACCAAGTTGCGAAAAAAGGCCAAACAATTTTATTATTTTTTAAGATGGTATGATCCTTTCATAAAATTCACCTCTTTATCCTATTAGTCATTATTACCGGGCCCAACCGCGATTTGCCCACTATCACAACTAACAAAGTCATAACTATAGGCCAGAAATAGCAGATTCTTTGGACGATCATAGTAGTCCTATCTCTCATAGTATCCCTATTACGCCCTAGCCCATCGTCAACCTCATCTATTCTTATTTCATACAGTGAAATTTTTTTCCCTATTTGCACTGTTCTCTCTGGTAAACTCAGATTTGAATCCATCTTATCGAGTCGGCTGGAACACTGTCACATTTCCAGGCGGTTTTATTCCCTTTCCAGCCTGCCTGTTCGTGCCAAAGTCCTTCCTCCTCTTTGACCTCTTAATTCTGAGTTATTCTTATATTACCCTTGGCTCACTCCTCATAAATTGTATCATAATACTGACCAGCTAACCGTTGTTAAGCTTAATAACCTGTAGATTCCTTATTTTTCTTTAAACTAAAACCTTTGTTTTTATTTTATCTTATCCCTGTATTTCTATTAACTCACAGAACTCTGTGTGAAGAGATCAACCACTTGTTAACTATCTGCACCTCAAATGCTGGGCCTGGTCAGCGGGAATGTGAAGCAGCTTTGCGACGACTTGATGCCCTCCGCCCTCTTCTGGAGAATCCTACTCGCCCGGTTAATCAACACAATTACCATGAATGCCTTGACATGGTCACGCAATCCACAACGGTAGGAGAACATTTCACGACCACTTCGGTCCACTTTCGGCCACTTCGACGCCTTTAGCGTCGATACTCTGGCTCAGCTCCACCTTTTAGACTTTACATTAGTTATTCTTATTATCTCAATATAGAAATAATTGAAAAGGACATTAACATTTATAATGAAGTTATTTGTGAGCCTTGGTCTCAAACTAAGCTACGTGCTATCGAAGGTATACAGACCAAGGTAATGTCGTCTTTAGTATGTTAGCTGTCCTTTTTCGTTGTATAGAAGTTGTTTGACCTTGCTTTCGCAACTTGGTTGTATTCAAAACTTTGGACTGGCAGGGACGGAAGTGTTAGTAAGTTTTGACCTACAATCCATGTATGCTAAAGTCTCAGGCAAAAAGGTAATCAAGGCGAGATGAGGATAGCCTGGATGCAGAGTAGCTACGGAAGGAGTCGTTAACACGACTGATCAACCTGACACTAAGGACAACCTATTTTACCTTCAGCGGCAATATCTATGTACAAATATTAGTGCTACTTATGGGATCTCCACTCTTATTTCTTATGGAAAATATATGCATGAACATCGCTATACCAATAATGCTTCATACGAAACCTCAATGACTATTTTGCACTTCGGTCGCATGCTAAGGAAGATTAGGATGATTTCCTAAACTTTATAAACCAAATTAATGGAATCATTTTATTCATAATGTAAGTGAAAGAGAATAGGCGAAAATCTGTTCTAGATGTTGGTGTCTTTCGCTCCAACGGCACGCTTAAGATGAACTTATTGAGAAAGAAACCAGCCTTAATTTCCAGTCTCATCACGATTGCAGTTTGAATATTGGAATAATGGGGAGTTTGATCATCAGGATCTGAATTCTTGGACGAGGAGTTGGACAAAGTGACTCGGATTTCCCTTGGCAACGAGTACTTCGAAGAAGCCAAAGAAACCAAATAAAATCAGGAATCGGGAGGACAACCAAAATAGGATATGCCTGCCCTCCTGTGTGCTGAGTGAAAAATTGCGACCGCTACTAATAAAATGGACTATCAAGGTGATAACAAAGGAAAAGCCATCAATCTTTGTATGTCTGCCGAAGCAACATGAGAAGGTTGATAATCTGGACTGCTCAGGAGACTATAGCATCAAATGCGGCAACTGTGAGCAAACGGTGAAACAGGCAGAAAAATTAGCCTACGAATGAAGAAACATCAAAAACCCTGCAGAAACATGGATATGGAAAGATCCTAAATATGGGAACATATTGCATGAACGGGACACGAAAAAGGCTGGAACTCGGCTGAAAGGCTGGCTGCATACGTTGAAAACAGAGGAAAACACAAAATAAGAGGCCATCGATATCCAGACTAAAAAGATTTAATGATCAGAAGACATTTAAAAAGGCAGAATTAGCGAAAACTTTGCATACGGCTTAAGCAAATTCGGAGATAAGATCGGGTAACTGCAAGATCAGCAAAACGAAGACGACTAGATCCATCAAATATTTGCAACTTGAGCTAAAGAGATCACTAGTAGGAGGCAACAGAGGAACAATCGGAATTCAGGAGGAGATTTCTGCGGTGAGTTTTCTTAAACCAAGGAAAGCAACATTCACAATTGAGGATCGGTACACAAGAGACTAAGGCATAGTAAAGTCATATAGTTGATCAAAGGATAAACTTCACTTGTCTCTTTGACGAGTTGTAGGGAGGGGGATGCTAAGAATGACAAAGCTGTCTGACAATGTTGACTGCGATGCTGGCGACGCGTATGGGAATGTACCAAGTCCACGGTTCGATTATGTAAATTATCTTGCATATTATGGACACCGGACAAGGTGCGTTCCTCTAGTTCTTCCTGACAATACGAATAAGTTGCGAAAATCAGGTTAAACTACTTATATAAGACGAAAGGAGACCGTGACCATACTAAGGGCCACACCATCTTGAGCTTAATACCTTCGAGTAAATTAGTTTAAATGATTTTTTACTACTTTATGTGCTACGTTTTAGTTTACTGGCTTGTATTGTGCCAACCATCCCTTCTTCCTTCCACTTTATTTTACTGAGTTAAAGGGTTTGGATTGTATCATGTGCTCTATTTTAGGCTTATATAAACTGGTGTAATCGAATTCTTCAATTTTATGGTTGCTTCTAGATGCTTTTGTAATTCATGTATTCCTATTGTAACTTGATTATGAAAGTAAGAATTATTATCTTGGATTTTATGTCACTCGATGGCCGAACAATAAGATTTTTACACATTTATTCGCCATGTTAAACTACATCTCTTCAAGGAAAACTTCATATCCATCACTTGCACCCCTGCTATTCTCTTTCAGCCACTTGCCGATGGACTAATTGGGGTCTCCAATTCGACCAAAGCACAGAATGCTCAGGAGTTCGGAAGCTCCGTCCACAACATTGTAGATGCCATTAGCAAAATGGTCGAGGAAACTGCCCAGGTTAGTGGCTCCTTTTTTGATCTCAGTCAATTCACGATTATCTCTTATCCAGTTATAATGCTAGATTCAACCTTTTCTCTTATATCATTTCTTCATCCATATCTCCTTTTCTCCTCTATTTTTATCTATCCTTATATATTTCATAATCCATATATATCCCTCATTCCGTATAAAGTTATATATTCAGTCCTTTATAGTATTTGCGTTAACTTGACCCTTTTTTAATATGGGATTATCTTTGATTCTCTTCTATGGCAGTCAGTTTAAACTATTAAACCTTTCTTAAGATGCCTTGGATACTTTACTTATATTTTCCTTTACCAATATTATTGTCTTCGGTGTCTAGGCGGCCTACCTTGTCGGTGTGGCTGATCCCCGTTCTGAGCCAGGACGTCCCGGTCTCGTGGATCATTTGCAGTTGCAGGAGATGCAGCGCAATATTCAGAATGCCTGCCAAGCTATGCAGTCTTCTGATATTACCGACAAACACGTAAGTCGTGCTCAATACTGTTTCGCCTTGCTATCTCTTTCATATTTGCAGTTTCACAGTATTTAAAGGTTCTTATGCCTCCTTTTACTCTTGATTTTATTCACCTATTCGGATAGCTTTTATTTCCTATTATTCCTTTTTTGGATCATCATTTCCTTACTTTACTTCTTCAACTTAGACTTAATCTAAATTAGATTAATGCATAAATTGCCCTTTGAAGTCGTTTTCTTATTTTCTTTTCCCATCACTTTCGTCCAATGCATCGAAATTACTACAAACATCTATTTCGAGGTAAAAATATTCAAGTTGTTGCTGACGTTTTTATTCAGTTTCAGAATGTTTTTTTCCTGCTCTTTGGGGGAATTTATTATCGAACAAATAGGTCTGATCCAGGTTTGTGTTTGAGACAAAACTTAAGATCGCCCTTGTTCTCGCAACTTGGTCTTGTTGTCAGGGCGACTCGTTGGACACACCTTGTCCTAAGTCCTGTTTCCGAGGTAAACTCCTTAGATTCCGCTGTAAATGTGCTAAGTTTTCGTCGATCATATGATGAACCTCATCAGAGCAAGGTTTTATCGTCATAACCAAATTCAAGCTAAAGGGTCGAGAAAACTCACCGACAAATTCATAAAAAGCGGTATATATACTCTATATCTGGCCTCTTCGATCAGGTATAAATTGATTTGGTTAGTTACGGTCACATGTTTACTTGAATTTGGTTGTGACAATGATGTTCTTCATATGATGGACGAAAGCTTAGCACCTTTTTACCGGAATCACAGGAGATTACCTAGGAAAGAGCGTCAATATGAATGTTTCAGTAGTGCCAATCGGCAGCTTGTCAAAAGGAATCCGCCGTCGTCTTCTGGGGGAATCGATCTTAGAATCTCTTCATCAAACATTTTCATTCTAAATGAAAGTAAGCTCAACAATTATGAAACAAGAGATTTCTCGAAGCCCAACTTTTCTTCACATATCCTTTTCCATAGTTGTTATCATAATTCCCAGCGTCAGACCCTGGACTTGGTACCTTCTCAGACGTTTCGCCGGCATCATTAGTGAGTCTTGCCATTCTCAGCACTAAGCTACAACTCGTCATAGAGACAAATGAAGGCAATCTCTTGATATAAAATTTATGCCGAAACGATA